AGTCTCTAATGTGCCTTCTTTTTGTCCGTTTTCAGCCAGTCGATAAGCGTATGAAGCTGTGCTGCATGATTGATTTGTCAACTTATACATATTAGCTATGTAGAAGTTATAGGCTAGACTGAGGTATGCTTCTAGTGAGTACAACCAACTAGTATTTGTTCTAGGTTTCCACTTCTAGTCAATTATTCAGTTCTCACTTTAACATGGTATCACGCGTAGGTTAGAATCCCCCACCTACCGCTTCCGCCCGTACCCTAGCTAGGCTCCGCCGCGCCCTTGGGGCCCCGTCGCGCCTCCTAGCCCCGTCGCGCCCCTCCTGGGCCCCGTCGCGCCCCCTAGCCCAGTCGCGCCCCTCCTGGGCCCTGTCGCGCCCCCCTAGCCCCGTCGCGCCCCTACTGGGCCCCGTCGCGCCCCCTAGCCCCGTCGCGCCCCTCCTGGGCTCCGTCGCGCCCCCTAGCCCAGTCGCGCCCCTCCTGGGCCCCATCGCGCCCCCCCCCTAGCCCCGTCGCGCCCCCTTCTGGGCCCCGTCGCGCCCCTCCTGGGCCCCGTCACGCCTCCTAGCCCCGTCGCGCCCCTCCTGGGCCCCGTTGTGCCTCTTAGCCCCGTCGCGCCTCCTAGCCCCGTAGCGCCCCTGCTGGGCCCCGTCGCGCCCCCTAGCGCCCCTCCTGGGCCCCGTCACGCCTCCTAGCCCTGTCGCGCCCCTCCTGGGCCCCGTCGCGCCCTGCCTGGCCCCGTTGCGCCCGCCTGGCCCCGTCGCGCCCTGCCTAGCCCCGTCGCGCCTTGCCTGGCCCCGTCGCGCCTGCCTGGCCCCTCCCCGCCTGCCTGGCCTTGCCGCGCCTGCCTGGCCCTGCCGCGCCTGCCTGCCCCCCGCCGCGCCTACCTGGCCCCGCCGCGCCTCCCTGGCCCCGCCGCACCTGCCTGGCCCCGCCGCGGCTCCCTGGACCCGCCGCACCTGCCTGGCCCTGCCGCACCTGTCTGGCCCCGTCGCGCCTGCCTGGCCCCTCCGCGCCTGCCTGGCCCTGCCGCGCCCGCCTGGCCCTGCCGCGCCTGCCTGGCCCCGCCGCACCTGCCTGGCCCTGCCGCGCCTGCCTGACCCCGCCGCGCCTGCCTGGCCCCGCCGCGACTGCCTGGCCCCACCGCGCCTGCCTGGCCCCGCCGAACCTGCCTGGCCCCTCCGCGCCTGCCTGGCCCCGTCGCGCCTGCCTGGCCCCGCCGCGTATGCCTGGCCCCGCCGCGTCTGCCTGGCCTCTCCCTCTGCCCGCCCGGCACATCTTCGTGCCTGCTCGTCCTGCCGTGCCGCCTCGGGTTCCGTCTACTCTGCTCGCCGGTGCTGGGGCGCCTCGCGGCCGCCGTGCTGGAGAGTGCTGTCGCCGTGTCCCTGCGTCACTGTGTTCCTGTGGAGCTGTGCCGCTGACCCTGCACGATGGCTGACTTCGTGCTCCGACTGGACGCCGAGGGCCATGCGGTTGACTTCGCCGCCTGGCTCTCCGATCTCCGCCGCCACCTTACAGGTCAGCACCAGGATGGCCACTCTTTGGTTGTCCATGTCGACGGCTTGCTCCCCCGCCCCCCCGCACCTGCTCCCCTCCCTGCTGACCCCTCCTCTGATGATCGTGAGACCTTCTCTACTGCTGTGCTTGCCCGTGCGGTCTAGGACTCCCGCGATGCAGTCGCTCAGGTTGCTATTAGCCACGCCCTCCCTGTGTCTGAGCGCTCGCGCTTTGCTACTATTGAGACGGTCAAAGCTTACTTAGACGCCGCTATTGCTCGCTATTCCTCACCCGCGTCTGCTTCTGCTGGCCGCCTGCTCTTCCCTATGCTTTTCCCAGACCTTGCAGCCTTCCCTACCGTCGCAGACTTTGCCACTCACCTGTGTGCCCTAGAGACCCGCTATCGCACTGCCAGCACTGCTGCCCAGCTCACTGCGCTCCCCCCCCCTTTCTGCATGACGCTCTACTTTATCGCCATGCGCCTGCCAGACCGCCTCGCTAGTGCTCACGACCACTTCCTTAGCCAACACCCAGGTGGCCTCACCCTCACCGCCTTTGTCGATACCCTCACCGAGATCGAGACTCGCCAGCGCACTATCGCTAAGTCGAGCGGTGCGCCGGCAGTCTCTATCTTTCACAGCTGTGCCCCCTCCCAGTGCACGTTCACTGACGTTTCGGCAGCGGTCGCCACGGCGACCCCTCTCACCAAGACGGCTGCTGCGGTCCACCCGCAGCAGCGCTCGCGCCGCGGTGGCCATGGTCGCCAGGGAGGTAGGGGTGGTGGCGCAGGTGGTGGTGGTGGTGGTGGTGGTGGTGGTGGTGGTGGTGGTGGTGGTGGTGGTGGTGGTGGTGGTGGTGGTGGTGGTGGTGGTGGTGGTGGTGGTGGTGGTGGTGGTGGTGGTGACGGTAGTCCGCCTGCGGGGACTACCACTGGTGGGCAGGAGCAGCAGCCCCAGCCGCAGCAGGAGCAGCCCCAGCCGCAGCCGCCGCCCCAGCAGCAGCCGCCGTCCCAGCAGCAGTCGCCGCAGTAGTGGGCCCGTCTCCCGGCTGGCTGGCCCGGCACCTCCGGAGGTAGTGGCCGTGGTGGTGGCCCGCGCAGCTTGGTGTCTACCGGCGGCTCCGGTGCTATCACCTTCCACTACCAGCTTCAGACCGGGCCTCTTCGCGGCACTCTGTGCCGCCGCCCGCACCCGACCGCCCGCTGTTTCCGCCGCCTCGACGATCTCTTTCGTCGTCGCTTTGGCCCGGCCCCGGACCTCCCCGACTGGCACAGCCTGCTCCGCCAGGGCGTGCCGATCTTCGAGTTAGACATGGATCAGATAGGTGCTGCTTTGCATGCTTTGTATTCTGACGCTTCTAGTGTTGCTGGATCTTATTACCCTGTGTACTCTAGTTTAGGTGTTGCACCATTGTGTAGCTTAGCCTCCCCTGCTGCGTCAGGCGTAGGACTGCCTAGCTTGCCTAGTCTAGTCGCTGCACCGGCTCCATCCCGGGCCTCCGCCATTGCGTTGCTGTCCTTCACTCTCGACTCCGGTGCTTCTGCCTGCTTCTTCCGCGACCGTTCCACGCTCACACCGCTTGCTGTGCCTGCTGTTGTCTCTCTCGCTAACCCCTCTGCGGGTCCCGTCGTCGCTCGCAGTTCTACGTCCCTTCCCTGTCCAGCAGTTCCCTCGGGCTCCCTTACAGGCCTCCACGTTCCCTCGTTCTCGAGGAACCTGGTTGGTGTCGGCTGTCTTCAGGACCTCGGCGTCACCACCACGTTCCCCGGGCACGAGCGGTTCGCTGTCTGTTCTGAGGCTGTCTCAGGTTCCCCCCTTGCGACGTTCCCCCGGGACCCGGTGTCCGGTCTGTTTACCCTAGACACCGCTTCCCTCCCAGTTGGTGCATCCTCCCAGGTCGCTGCAGCTTGCTCGTGTCGGTCCCTCACTCACCCGTCCCTTCTGTGGCACCACCGCTTAGGTCACCCTGCTCTCCCTCGTCTGCGTCACATATCCCAGCACGGTCTTGTCTTAGGTCTCCCAGCGTCGCTCCCTGCCCTTCCTCCCTCGACTGCGCCACCGTGCACGCCTTGCGTCGAGGGTCGGCTCCGCCGTGCTCCTCACTCCTCCTCGCTGCGCCCTGCTAGTGCCCCCCTTCAGACCCTGCACCTGGACGTTTGGGGCCCTGCCCCCGTCCCCGGACCGCGCGGTGAGCGCTACTTCCTTGTGCTCGTCGACGACTACACGCGCTACACCACGGTGTTTCCTCTGGAGCAGAAGGCCGATGTGCCCGACGTTCTTCTCCCGTGGGTTGTGGCTGCACGTCTTCACCGCGGTCTCCCCGTGTTGTGTCTCCACTCTGACCGTGGCGGCGAGTTCGCCTCTAGTCGGCTTGGACAGTTCTGTCGTGCGGAGGGCATCACCCAGTCGTACACCTTGCCGGACTCGCCACAGCAGAATGGGGTTGCTGAGCGCCGCATCGGCTTGGTCATGGAGGTTGCTCGTACCTCCATAATTCATGCCGATGCCCCCCATTTTCTGTGGCCGTTCGTTCTTCGCTACGCTGCTCACCAGCTTAACTTGTGGCCACGCTCCCAGCGGCCGCAGGTTTCGCCGACCCTCCTTTGGACCAGGTCCCCCGGTGACGCGTCTGCGTTCCACGTCTGGGGCTGCCTTGCTCACGTTCGTGCCTCTGGCACGGACAAGCTCACTGCCCGCACTGTCCCCTGTGTCTTCCTCGGTTTTCCCCTGGACTCGTCTGACTAGCTTTTCTACCACCTGCCGTCTCACCGCTTCCTCCACTCTCATGACGTCACCTTTGACGAGTCTGTCTCCTTCTACCGTCGTTTCCCTCACCGAGGTCTCCCGGTTGCCCCGCCCCTGTTCCTGGCTCCCTCTCCCCCGGTAGCCCCTGCTCCTCTCCCGCCTCGTCCTGCCCCCTCTGGTGTCTCTCACGTCACTCCCCTCCCATCGGTTGTCCCCGTTGAGGAGTCTGCTGACTTTGGTAGTCCCCTCGGCTCGTCCCTGCCGCGTCCCCCTTCCCCGGTGTCTCCGCCTTCCCTGCCGCCGTCGCCGTCGCCGCCGCCGCTGCCGCCGCCGCCGCCGCCATCGCAGTCGCAGTCACCGCCACCGCCGCAGCCGCCGTCGCCGCCGCCGCCGCTGCCGCCGTTGGCCTCTGGGGGTGCTGGCGTTGAGGAGGGTGTTCGTCCTGCAGCTCCCGGGGGTGCCGCTGGAGTTGGAGGGGGTTCTTGATCTGAGGGTGTTGGTTCTGGGGGTGCTGCTGTTGAGGGTTCCGCCGACCGTCATCCTGCCTCTGCCGGTCCGAGGGTTTCGGCCCAGCTGTCGCAGCAGCCGCCACAGCCGTCACCGCCGGTCTCCGCTCTCCGCCTGCTCGGCCTTCCCTCCCCGGACCGCGCGGCGGTGTCTCCCCCACCGCCTGCTGACCTTCCTGTCTACAGTCCTGTGTTCCCGCCACCGGACTCGTCTCCGGCCCGTCATCCTCCTCGTTCCCCTCCTGTGTCCCCTCCGCTGTCCCCTGACCCTACACCTCTGTCTCACGTTTGGGCTCGCCGTCCCTCCCGTGCTCGTCCCGTCTCTCCTGTCCTGCCCACCCACCCTATGTTGCTCCATTCCCGCTCGTCTCGTCCTCCCCTCCTCTCGTCCCCTCCTCCCTCGTCCCTTGCTGTTGCACGTCCTCCGTTCTTTGACTACCTCCGTGCCGCTCGTCCCCTTGTTCCTCGGGTCCTTGCCTCTCTTGTTACCGACCCTGCTGTTCCTGTCTCGCGCCTTGACGCGCTTGTCGCTGCTGTCGCTGACTTCGCCTCTACCTGCCGCCTTGACTACGCTACCGCTCTGGTCTCTGACCCTGCCCGTCCTCCGTCCGTCGAGGGTGCTCCTGCCCTTGGCACTGACGTCCTAGAGGACAGGCAGTACGAGCTGGCTTTCCTTTCCGAGGCTGCTCCCAATCTCTGCTCCATGCTGTTAGTCCCTGAGGGTGACCCAGACGCCTTCGACATCCCGACCCCTCGCACCTATGCTGAGGCCACCTCGGGACCTTGGGCCTCTCAGTGGATAGCTGCCATGGAGCAGGAGATGGCATCTTGGAGGTCCACCGGCACTTACGTCGACTCAGTTCCCCCGCCTGGGGTGAACGTAGTCGATGGTCGGTGGCTCTTCAAGGTGAAGCGCCCCCCTGGAGAGCCGCATGTCTTCAAGGCGCGCTACGTGGCCAGAGGTTTCAGTCAGCGAGAGGGGGTTGACTTCTTCCAGACGATCTGGTCTTCGCTACTGCTGACAGGGACGCAGAGGCCTTTGTGAAGGCCGAGCTTCTGAAGAGACACACCTGCACTGACCTTGGAGAGCTGCGTCGCTATCTTGACCTGCAGATCTCTAGGGACAGAGCAGCACGCACCATCACTCTGACACAATCACACTTGGTGCGTTAGGTCCTTCAGAGGTTCGGTCTTCAGTTCTCCTCCGCACAGCCCACACCTCTACCTGTAGACCATGGGCTCTCCGCTCTCGTTCCTGAGGAGCCAGTAGAGCCCAGTGGCCCCTACGCAGAGCTGATGGGTTGCCTCATGTACCTGATGACTTGCACTCGCCCAGATCTCGCATACCCTCTCAGCATCCTGGCTCGCTTTGTGGCTACAGGTAGACACCGACCTCAGCACTGGTCTGCCGCTAAGAGGGCTTTGCGTTATCTTGCTAGTACATTGGGCATGGAGTTAGTGCTAGGAGGACGCAGGCCAGTGGTCCTTACTGGGCACGCAGACGCTTCTTGGGCAGACGACTCTGAGACGCTCAGGTCGTCGCAAGGCTACTGTTTTAGCCTTGGTTCGGGTGCTATCTCTTGGAGATCCACTCGCTCGTCGTCAGTGGCTCAGTCTAGCTGTGAGGCTGAGATCTACGCTGGTGCCATGGCGGCACAGGAGCTCCGCTGGCTGACCTTCTTGCTCACAGACTTAGGTGAGCGGCCTAGCTCTGCCCCGGTCCTGTACGCTTACAACAGGGCCATGATACTCCTGTGTCTGGAGCCTCGGCTTGAGGGCAGAGCAAAGCATATCCAGCTGCGGTACTTCCTCCTGCGTGAGCTACAGCAGCGCCGCCAGGCCCGCGTAGTTCACTTGGCCTCAGGTGCCAACACAGCTGATATCTTTCCTAAGGCGCTTGCGCATAAAGATAATCAGCGGCACTGTGTACAGCTTGGTCTTGTTCCTGTAGCTACTCACCTGTTAGGATCGTGATTGTGTACTCTCTATTATATATGCTTGTCAGACTGGGCTTGTGGCCTTACCTCAAGTGGCTGGACTAGTAGTGCCGCCCTGGCTTGCTTTAGTTTTGTTTGTATTCTTGCTGTCTGGTCTCCAGACCCCTGCCTCAGTGGTTGGACTAGTAGTTCCACCTGAGCTGTTTGCTTCTTGCTTAGCTTCACCCCTTGTCTAGCCTAGGGGGTGTGTCAACTTATACATATTAGCTATGTAGAAGTTATAGGCTAGACTGAGGTATGCTTCTAGTGAGTACAACCAACTAGTATTTGTTCTAAGTTTCCACTTCTTGTCAATTATTCAGTTCACTTTAACATGATTACCCCTGAATGGTTTTTACTCAAACAAATTTACTGAAAATGTCAAATAGGTACAAATTGCTGTCCCCCCCTGCTGCAACAGTTAGGAGGGAAGTGAACGCCACACTTAGGTAGAGAGAAGCAAGAATGAGAGCTGGATCCAGCTATATAAACAAATGGGGCAGGAAAGGCTACTGCACCGTCTACTGATGTAGCCACAGCTGTAGCCATCTGCTGTAGCCACAGCTATAGCAGCTGTTTAGCCACAGCTGTAGCAACAGCTGTAGCCACTGCTGCCACTAGAGCAGCTATTAGAGCAGCTATTGATGGTGCGAGCATACCCTGCTGTCGCTGCCGCAGCAGCACAAGCGAAGCCCTGTGCTCTTGCTATACACAATTTGGCTCTAAGCCGTCGCAACCGTCGCCGGCTGCTGCTGCTGCTGCTGCTGCTGCAGCAGGGTACCAAAGAATCCACCCCTAAACCCCGGAAACAAACGGCGTCTCCCAGCGGGA